CCAGTCCATTCTTTATCTGTAACTACAGTGGTCTATCAAAAAAGTCCCTTATTATGTTGTTCCTCAATGTGCAACCTTTCAGTTGGTATCCTTTTACTCTTAGGATTAAGATCAAAGTCCTTGCCTAGGCCTATAAGACCTTGTCTGACCTGGCCCTTGCCTGTCTCCTCACATGCTCTGCTGTGTTCTCTAAACATTCTTTGCTTTTTCTCAACTGGGCATCTTTCCCTCCTCTACCTGTATCACTCATCCTACCAGTTCTTTAGAGTTCAGCTCAAGTGTCACTTCATTGTGAAGCAGGATTAGCACTTTCCCTCATGTGCTCCCATAGCATCTTGTCTTCCTCCTTCATTGCACTAATCACAATTGTAATGGCTGTTCCCCTGCTGTACTATAAACAGGAACAATGTCTGTCATGTTCACCACTGAGCCCCTAACATTAACACTGTGACTTGTGAGTGATGATCAATAAATATATATTAAATAGGTCAACCTATTCCATCCTAGTTTCTACTTTTGTGATGCAAATTTTCTTTGTAAAAGTAACTTTTGGAGCTATGCATGGTGGTTTGCAACTATAATCCCAGCAACTGGGGAGACTGAGGTGGGAGAATTACCATGAATTTGGGTTTATAGAGTTTTCTTAGATGCATAAGATTATTATGAAATGTCTTAATTTCTAGTAACTGTAAGAGGATCACCTCACTTGTATACTTATCCTTAATTTGGAGTAAATGAATGTCTAATTTTGAAATCCCTAGAATTAATTATTCATATTTAATGAGTCATTATATGCTATGTTAGAAGCCTAATTTTTATAGTTAGATAAGTGTTGAATAAACAAGAGAAAGTGAGAATTAAATAAATATAACAATTTAGACATATGTCACATATGAGTTTGGGGGGAATACCCATTCCAGGAATCATAGAAGCATGCTACAGGAATGGCAAGAAGTCTAGTGTAGCTTTGTGAAACTAAGACCACCAGAGCTTAAAAACAAGCATACACTGAGCTATTAATGTGGCAGGCAGGCAATACATGCTGGGAAGTGTTCACTGAAAGGCTTGTGGAGGGGGAGCTTCAGGGCTTATTAATTGCTAGGAAAGTGAAAACTTACCTTCATCCTGATGGTTAAGAACTGAAAACTGTCAGGGCTGGAGAGATGGCTCAGTGGTTAAGAACACTGGTTGTTCTTGCAGAAGACCCAGGTTCAAATCCCAGCACCCACATGGCAGCTAACAACTGTCTGTAACTCCAGTTCTAGGGGATCTGACAGCCCCTTCTGTCTTCCGAGGGCAATGCATGACACAGGTGGATTTACCTACATTCAGGCAATACATGCATTCACATAAAATAAAAATAATAAATAAAATATTTTTTAAAAAGTGTTGTAATGCTATAGAATTCTGTTGGTTTGTGTAAACATTCTCATGAAATAATTCAGGCAACAGAAATGTTATCCATTCCCTGAAAGAATGACATAATCAATTAAACATCCATTTGGATTATATTTGGAAGCTCATTTACAATGTCTCTAAAGCACAAAACTAGATTTTCTTTCTAAATATGGACATCAGTAAGTGGGAGGAAATGGTGTCTGAGCTAAGATCTAAAGTACGTGGAAGATCTAGTCAGGCAAAGAGGGAGAAAACATTTTGAACAGATGAAAATGTAATAGAAAATAATTTTGTGAATCTATTTTTGCATCATGCAATCTGGAGACACTCGGTACTTATTACACTATCCCATTTGCTTGTCTCTTCTGCCATTAGACCTTGAGCTTTATAATGGCAGAATGCATAGTAAATGCCCAATAAATGCTTGTTTAATAAGTGAGTGGCTTAGTGAGTGAGTGAATGTGTAATGAGTAAATGCTAGGTATGAGACACAATGGACAGTCATGTAGGAATGAAGATGGAAATTGAGGGCATGCTGCATTGAGAGAGGAAGAGACAGAGAGCAGAGGGAGAAGCAGTATGGGAAGAGGAGGATGAGACACAGCAGAAGGGATTGGGAGGTTTGGCCACAGCAGGTGCATCAGAGGAGCTTAGCACTTCCTTTAAAACACTAATTAATCCCTCAGAAGTTCATCTGAGGCTCTTCTGCACTGCTAAACTGCTTGCCTGCTTTCAGTTTTAAACTTTAAAGTTAAAGTTTATTTTTGAAGGCTTACCTTCCTAGAGAATTACAAAGGTTCTATATGGGCATAAACTAATGAGTTTGATTTAGTACCTTTTGTTTTGTTTTGTTTTTGGACTATTTGAGGTATACAGTTTCCTAATTCTCAGTAAAAATCCTTTTGCATTTCAAAATCTGTCAGATTGCCTTAGTCTTTCTTTGAAGGATGAAAACCTGTTACAAATGTTGTTGGACCAAAAAAAAAAAAAAAAATGCACTTAAAACTAGCAGCTATTTTTATTGTTCTGAGCCTGTTTGATTTCAATCAAAACAGCTTTTTTGGGTTTTTTAAAAAATTTCTAATAAGAATGGTTACATAGGAACACTGAACTCCCCATTCTTTGTCCATTCTCAGCTTAAGTTTGATCCAGAGCATCAGAATGACCTGGGATGCTTGCTATAAAATGCATCTTCCAGGCTTCTTTCCTAGTCCTGGGACCACAGTCTCTCCAGGAGATTTTTTTAATTTTTTGAGACAGGGTCACTGTGTAGCCCCAGCTGACCTGGAACTCACTATGTAGACCAGAGTGGACTCAAACTCAGTGATCTGCCTGCCTCTGCCTGGGACTAAGGGTGTACACTTCCTCATCGGCTCCTCTAGGTGACTTTTATGCCCAGGGAAGAAAAAGGCTGATGATCTTTAGGCCTGAATACATCCAGCCCAGCTCTCTCTTTAGAGTATGCAAGGTAGCTTACCAGGGTATTCTTACTCTTTCTTTCCTTCTTTCCTTCTTTCCTTCTTTCCTTCTTTCCTTCTTTCCTTCCTTCCTTCCTTCCTTCCTTCCTTCCTTCTTTCTTTCATCTCTCTCTTTCTTTCTTTAAATATTTTATTATTTTTATTTTATATGTATGAGTGTATTGCCTGCATGTATGTGAGTGCACCCGTCTCAGGTGCAATGCCGTGGAGGTCAGAAGAGGGCGTCGGATTCCCCTGGAACTGGAGTTAAGGACGGTTTGTAACCGCCATGTGGGTTCTGGGAATCGAACCTGGGTCCTCTGCAAGAGCAGTCAGTGCTCTTAACCGCTGAGCCATTTCTCCAGCCCCGTATTTCTTTTTTTAAATGGCAAATTGACTATTTATAATTGTATATACTTATGGGGTACAATGTAATATTATTTAAAAATACGTTGGATAATTGATCAAGCTAATTAGCATTATCTATCACCTCAAATATTTATCATTTTTATGAAGAGAACATTTGAGTTATAGTCTTAGCAACCTGTAAATGTACAATACACTATTATTGATACAGGGGAGAAACAGGGCCCCCTTCTAGGGTCCTTAGTTTTATTCATAAAAGAATTTAAGACTGGACTCAAATGGAAACTTTAGGGCAGTTTTATTTGAATTTAAGGAAAAAATCTCAGGGCAAGCAAGCCACAGATCTCAGTAGCTGCCTTGAGGGGGGAACGGAGAGGAGAAGGGAAAAAAAAAGATGTAAAGCTGTGCTGGTCAAATAGATACCATGTGGCAGATTAGCAGCCACAAAGGGGTTGGGGGAAGGGAGTTGTAGAGAAAAGAATAAAGAAACCCAAACTGGTGGAGCAGCCCAAAATGTTAAGGAAAGCCTGGCCAAAAAAGAGGCATAAAAAGGAAAAGGAGCCGGGCATGGTGGCACACACCTTTAGTCCCAGCACTGGGGAGGCAGAGGCAGGCGGATCTCTGTGAGTTCTAGGCCAGCCTGCTCTATATAGTGAGTTCTAGGACAGCTGAGGCTGCAGGGAAACCCTGTCTCAAAACTACTTAAAAAAAAAAAAAAAAAAAAAGAAGACTAGGAGAGGTTATGCTTTAGAGCCACATGTCTGCCTGCAACTTGAGCCACAGGAACTGCAGTAAGTGGGGGAGTGGGGGGTGGGTATGCAGGAAAAGGTAACCGCTCTTTAGAATGACTTAAGGTAAGCCCCCCTTCCTAGGGTTGGTCCTGTGACCAAGTGATCTGAAAAAACTGGAAAGTTGGGTCTTCATCTAGGCCAGAGGATCTTATACTTTTGACTATTTTTAAGTATTTTTTTGTTGTTTGCTACTGTGACATTATTGACTACATTGTTTGCAATTATCTTTTTTTAATTCTTCTTTTTATTTTTATTATTTGGTCTTTTGAGACAGTGTTTCACTGTGTAGCCCTGGCTGACCTGGAACATGCTATGTAGACTAGGCTGGCCTCAATGTAGGGACTAAAGGCATGCTCCATCATGCCCAGCTGTCCCAGGTTTTTCAGTCCATTCAAAACTGATTCTATATTTTGTTATTGTGAACTATATGGGCAATTAATACACAAATGCAGGACTTTTTCTTTTTTTTCAAATTGGTTTCAAGTCTTTTGGATAAATACCCAGAAGTGAAATTGCTGTATCTTTTTTATTTATTTATTTATTTGGTCTTTTTGAGACAGGGTCTCCCTGTAGCTCCAGCTGTCCTGAAACTCACTATGTAGACCAGGCTGGCCTTGAACTCACAGAGATTTACCTGCCTCTGCCTCCAGAGTGCTGGGATTAAAGGCGTGCGCCATCATACCCGGCGGTAATTATATTTTTAAGTTTTTCAGATGTCTTCATACAGTTTTCCATAATTATTGTGTTGTTTACATTCCCACTAATACTTCTTAAATTGATATTTAGTTAGGTAAAATAAGGCCCACCTCTATAAAAAGTCAAAGATGAATGCTGACTTCAGTATGTGCTAGTGGAGGAAAGGCTCCATAGATTTGCTTCAAGAAAGACTGAGTGGAAAGTGAAGCTCTGAACTCTTATATTCTGCCTTTTAAACTATCTGAACAAAATCCAAGAGTCTGAATATGTATTTTATCTCTACGTGTTTCAGAGTGTCCAAGATGAAGGAGAATATTAAACAGAAAAGACAACAGAGAGAGTACATAAGCAGAGTCAAAGGCAAGGTGGCCAGCATGAGGAGACAGGCTTTGGAGGAACAGTTCAGTGAATGGGTCCTGGATGCCAAAGGGATGATTCCTATGGTTGTGGTAAGAGGAAGACTATATGTGAAGGGTAGTGGGGTGGGAGATAAGAGAGAAATTGCTAGCATACTAAGTAGAATGGCAGAAGCTTCTCTTGACATTCCCAGTACAACTGACCTAAGTTAATTCCTGACCTGCCTGGCACATGAGTCTATTGATTTCTTCAATTTTCTCCTGGATATAAAAAAAATACAAATCTAGTAAGATTTCTAAAATCTTAATTCTCACAAGGGTTTCCAAACTAATCATTAAAACAGAGACAGATTTCGTGTGTGTGTGAGTGTGTGTGTGTGTGTGACTAATTTAAAAAATTTTTTATTGGATTTTTGTATATTTCATACATAAAATCATCTTTATACTTAACTTCCCCTTTGGTACCCTCCCATAGCACCCCCACTGGAGTTCATACCTTCTGTCATTTGTGTTAAGGTCTATCATGTAAATTAAGTGTCCCCAGATGTCCCTTAGTACAAGTTCATCCATGGGGATTTAGTCATCCTGTCTAGAGTCCTTCCCTTTAAGAAGATCAGCTCTTCCTCACCCAGCAGTAATCAGCTGCCAATACTTCTTCAACTAAGATTGGGACCTGCTGTTCATTACCACAGTTCTGTGCTGGGTTTTTGTATGCTTAAGTTTGCATGGGTCTTGTGCATGCTGACAACATTGCTGCATGTTTGTATGAGAAGGGTCCCAGGAGCCTGTGGGACTGTTTCCATACGGTCTTGTACCTCCTCACTGGCTCTTACAATCTTTCCACCCCTCTACCACAATGACCCCTGAGCCCTGGGTGGGTGGATTTTAATGTAGGAGACCTATCCAAGGACCCACACTCTGCAGACTCTTTATTCTCCTCATTTTGGACATTTATGACCTTTTGCATTCTTGGCCCTTTGTTGCATGAGGGAGTTTCATTGATGAGTACTAAGGGGTGCATTAGTGTTCTCTTCATCCCTTGTTCTATGTTCCATGGGTCTTATGTGTAGAGGTTGCATCCTAGATGTGCCACTTAGACTTGGGCAGTTCACAATTTCTATGTGTGATCAGTTGTGAAACGCTGTAATTATCTCTTTCTCTTGAAAAAGAAGTTTCTTTGATGGGTGGTAACTGGGATACTTGTCTATAAATTTAAGGATCTATATTTTGCACATAGTAAGAAATTACATTTATCTAGAGATGTGACAGCCTTGGCGTTTTCTCTAAGATCTATTACCTCTCTAGCTATGTGTATTTGGCTAGGTTAACAGTACCACATATGAGTCTCCTCCCATTGAGTGGGCTTTAAGTACAGTTAGGTAGCTGTTGTTTAACCCCATGATAAAAGTGCCACTATTGCACCAATGTCATCTGCTTTACTGGTCATTGATGTGGTTTTTAGGTCTTGAAGCTGGCGTTGGACCATCAATTGATGTTCTCCCTTAGGAGCTTGTGAAGTGCTCTCCAAAGCTATGAGAGCCAGCCTTCAGGGGAGGTGGCTCATTGCTCCAAATCCCGTGTCCAAAATATGTCCTGTTTTCAGCAATAGGGCCTTATCTTCAAGTTCTGGCAGGCAATCAAGGACTGTGACAATAGCTTGTGCAATTTTTGGAGTCTCTTGTGCTATCCTGGCCAACTACTCAAAGAAAGTTTCTCTTATCTGGCACTGTTTCTTGTTATGTAGTCTTCAGCTATGCTCATGGACTCATGTAGGGATAGTGTATGTGTAATTTTTCAGTAGGTTTTTGGACTAATACAATTCCCTCTGGTTCTTTATGCTAGTTAGTCACTATCTCTCCTTTTTCTCTCCCTGTCTTATCTTCCCTCCTTGCCCTCCCCATTTAAAGTGTTCCCATTTTCCCCATTTCTCCTTTGATAGTTTCTATATGCTATGGTCCCACCTCTCTTGAGCTCCTTCTTCCCCTTTATTCCCATAGTTCCTTGAAGAGCCCTCCTTCTCCCTCTCCCCTTTACCCCCTTTTTACATATTTCTCCCTTACTAACACCTGTCTCCTATTATTCTTCTCTCTCAGGTTCCTTCTTTCCTTTACCTCTCTGGTTCCCTTCCATTTTCCTGGTTCCTACAGTTATATCAGGATATGTACTCACTTATAAGGATTTGGTGCTAGGATCCACAAATGAGGGAGAACATACATCATTTGTTTTTCTGAGTCTGTGTTACTTCATTTAGTGTAAGTTTCTAGATCCATCCATTTAGCTGCAATTTTCATTTTATCATCTTTCTTTTCTTTAATTTATTAAAAATATTTTTTTGGAAGGAGCATTTCATTATAGCTTTAACATACTCAATAACAGTTTCCAGAGCAAAGATACATCTCTTTCAAAAGTGGCTATAAAATTTTTAGGTTCACTGTTGAATTAATACAGGTATACAATATTGAATTCAGTATTAACCACATAAGACATAAAATTGAAGTTTTAACCTTTAAAAAAGATCTCTAGCCGGGTGTGGTGGCACACATCTTTAATCCCGGCACTCGGGAGGCAAAAGCAGGCAGATCTCTGTGATTTCGAGGCCTATGCATCTCTCATTTATATGTATCTGATTATTACTAGTCATAACCGGTTGCACTCGGATACTTGGCACCTGTGTATGTCTATAAAGTCATCGGGTAGATTTCAATGGTAATGTTTATCACTTCTACTAATTAACATGACATAAATTTTTAATGCTTCCTCCTCAAATAGAATTCATTTTTTTAAATTTGTTGATTTCTTGTGTGTGTGTATGTATAACACAGAACATCCCAAACCATCTTATTCAACTATACACCTACTTCCCAGATGGCACCCTCCCATAGCCTCCCTCCCCCCACTAGAGCACTTATACTCTGTTATCCCTGCTACTGTCCACTGTGTTGTAGGCACCCCAAGCCGTTCCCCATTACTTGTCCATCTGGTGCATCTAGTCAGCCTATCTAGAGCTCGTTCTTTTAGGAAGGTCAGCTGTTCCTCATCTAGCAGCAATCAGTTGTCAATATTACTTTAGATAAGATTGGGGTGTGTGGTTCATTTTCCCAGTTCTATGCTGGGTTACTATCTGGGAATCCCTTGGGCTACCCTGGCCAACAACTCAAAAGAAGGTTTCTCCTATCTGGCATTGTTGCTTGTTATGTAGCCTTGAGCTATACATAGGGAATCTTAAAAAATTATATTGGCTCCTTTAATCTTTGGTTATACTTTCCTTTTGGGTGTTTAAGGCCATACAGTTGGCCCAGTTCAACCAATTTATTTGTACTCTTAAGGCCCTTTGAGGATCTGTTCCTCAGGGGACACAGGGGCTTGGGAGGAGCCCCTGGCTCCTTTCTTTTACCAGTTCCGCCTATGTGAAGATAAGTCAAAGGTCCTACTCAACCATGGCTGGCTTCGCTTGGAAGCATAGAGGAAACGATTCCTCTGTGTTGACCCTCCTCTTTGTAGACTGGGCACTGGTTCAAGTCCATCTGGTGGGGTCTCCTCAGCCTCCTTAATCAAGAGGACAGGTGACCCACCATGATTACCGGACATTTTGAGAAATGCTCATAGTCCCCTGGAACTAGTTGACCTAGGAGGGCAAGGAGTAAAAACTGTCCTATATGTCCCTCTGACCAAATTAGTGTAGGCCTCAAAGTACGTCTGTTAACATCCAAGAAGATTAGTTCCACCAGTCTGGTACTTTTAATTACTGTGTGTCATGTAGATAAATCTTGGGCAAAGACCAATTTTTCTCAGATAAACCTTGCCTAGACATATATTTCTTGATCTGGTATGTATAATTTGTCAGTAGATTGTTGGAGTAATACGGTTTCCTCTGGTTTTTAAAACTAGCCAGGCATTATATATCTCTCACATTGTCTAACCCCTCCATCATGGTTTTCCCAATTAAGGTGCCCCCATTTTCCCCCCTTTCTCCCTTAATAATACCCTTCCTCTATGATCCTACCTCTCTTGAGCTCCTTCTTTCCCTTTATCCCCAAGGTTCCTTATATACCCTTCCCGTTGCCCTCCCTTAACCTAACTCAATTTTTATCTATATCTCCCTTATTAAGGCCTGTTTCCTCCTGTTCTTCTCTTTCAGGTTCTTTCTTTTCCTTTACCTCCCTGTTTCCTTTTCATTATCCTGGTTCCTCTAGTTATGTCTGGATACATACTCGCTTATCAGGATTTGATTCTAGGATCCACATATGAGGGAGAACATACATCGATTTTTTTCTGAGTCTGTGTTACTTCACTTAGTATAACAGTTTTTAGTTCCATCCATTTACCTGCAAATTTCATGATTTCATCTTTCTTTACTGCTGAGTAAAATTCCATCATATAAATGAACCACATTTTCATTATCCACTCATCAGTTGAGGGACACTTAGGTTGCTTCCATCTCTTAGCTATTGTGAAACCCACAGCAACATGGGTTACTGTACACGTGTCTCTGCACTAGAATGAGCTCTTTGGGTATATACCAAGGAGTGCTATAACTGGGTCAAATGGTAGGTTCTTTTGTAGTCTTTTAAGAGTTCTCCACATTGTTTTCCATAGGGGTTGAACAAGTTTGCAGCCCCACCAGCAGTGCATGAATGTTACTCTTTCCCCACATCCTCTCCAACATTTGGTATTATTTGTTCTCTTGAACTTAGCCAGTCTGACTGGGGTAAGATGAAATCTTAAAGTGGTTTTAATTAGCAATTCCCCAATTACTATATATTGAAGATATATTGAATATCTTTTAAGATGCTTCTTAAGCATCTTCTTTTGAGAACTCTCTGTTCAGCTCCTTAGCCCATCTTTTAATTGGGTTACTTCCTCTCTTGATTCTCTGTTTTATGAGTTTGTTATATATTCTGGATTTTAAACCTCTGTCAGATGTGTTGCTGGTGAAGATTTTCTCCCATTCTGTGGGTTTTCTGTTCGCTTCCCTGGTTGCCTCCTTTGATGTACAGAAGCTTTTTAGTTTAATGAGGTCCCATTTGTTAATTCTTGTCCTTGTTTCCTGAGCAATTGATGTCTGGTTTAGAAAATCCTTTCTTATACCTATA